ACTCGCGACACGCGCTGTGAAAAGGCTGCTCACGCCCATCTCTCCCGAGGAGGGGGCGAAGCGCCGACTCGGGGGAGCGAGCGAGCCGCTCGGAGGGGTGGAGCCACGGCTCTGCGGGCTGCGGCTCCCCTCGACGGGAACCAATACTCCTCGTACCTATCTATTTGATGTGAAGATAGCACTGTCTCGCACCCTCGCGACGGGACCCCAGTCTCGTCGCACTCGGGGCTCTCGTCATGGCACGACACGAGACCGGCGCCAGCGCGCGGCATCAGCGCGCGCAGAGCCATGCAGCTCTGTTCCGAGGGACACACCCGCCGAGAGCGAGCTAGACATCCCGAACTTCCGCGAACCGGCAACTTTTCGTTAAGTTTCATCAGACTGTTGTCGGCGCGCGAAGGTAACAGCGCCCACTCCTTCACGAGTGAGCGCCTCGTGACGTCTACTTCAAGACAGCTGCGGGAGAGCCCCGCGCCGTCGCCAGCGGCGCCACCGCCTCCCACGTGTTCGCTGCCGGGTCGTACCGCTCCGCCGAGCTGAGGTAGCCGTTGTCGTAGCCTCCCACAGCATAGAGCTTGCCGTCGAGCACCGCCACGCCGGGCCTGTTCCGCGCCTCTGCCATCGGCGTCACCACTTCCCACACATCCAAGGCCGGGTCGTACCGCTCGACTGAGCTGAGGAAGCCACCGTCGTAGCCGCCAACAGCGTACAGCTTGCCGTCGAGCACCGCCACGGCGAGAACGCGCCGCGCCTCCGCCATCGGCGCCACCGCCTCCCACGCATTCGTCGCAGGGTCGTACCGCTCCACCGAGCTGAGGGCGCTGTCGTCGTCGTTCAAGCCGCCCACCGCATACAGCTTGCCGTCGAGCACCGCGACGGCGGCAGCGTCCCGCTCCACCGCCGTCGGCGCCACCGCCTCCCACGCATCCAGCGCCGGGTCGTACCGCTCCACCGAGCTGAGGGGGCCGTCGTCGTCGTTGTAGCCTCCCACAGCGTACAGCTTGCCGTCGAGCACCGCCACGGCGTGACCCTCGTGTGGCGTTGCCATCGGCGCCACCTCCTCCCACCCGTTCGTAGCAAAGTCGTACCGCTCCACCAGGTTGGAAGTTGCGCCGTCGGCCTCATCCTGGCCGCCCGCCGCGTAGAGCTTGCCATTGAGCATCGCCATGCGCGCCCTCAGGCGCCCCGACGGCATCGGCGCCGCAGCCTCCTCCTCCCACTCGTTCGTTGACGGGTCGTACCACTCCAGCGAGTTGATGCGCTCGTCGTTGCTGTCGTGGCCGCCGAACACGAGCAGGCGCTGCCTCTCGCGCCTCTTCAGCGTCTCCTTCCAGCCGCGGCGCCACGCGTGGCACGTCCCCTTGACGGCGTGCTCCTTGGTCGGCAGCTGGGCGAGGATGTGCGGGGCGAGGTCCGGCGAGAGGAGGACCTCGGAGAGGACCCACTCGGGCTGCTCCACGAGCCGAGCGGCGTGCTCCTCCGCCACGCGCAGCGCGGCGTCGCTCGCGCCCGCCTGCGCCTCGATGATGGCGCACAGCTGCTCTGGCGAGAGGCCCGCGACGCGGGCGCCGATGCGGTGGGAGGCCATCGGCGGGCGGTCGCTTCTTTGGCAAGGCCAATGCCTTGGATTTCGCTCGCGAGGTGTAAATAAATAAATAAAAACACCTCTCTACTGTGAAATGCCGTCCTCCCATCCCTCCCTTGGGTTGTCTGTTT